TAATCCTCATCTCACCAATTTTTTTTTTATAACGCAAAAGCTGTGTAATGTTACAACATGTAAATTCGCCGTTCGTTTTTTGCGCTTACATCGCAAGCTGCCCGCGTCTGTTTTTCACAAGTGACGGATTACACAAGCAGATCAAATAAATGTTACATTCATCCTATGCTCGAAATATTCGTAGTAACAACGACTGCACTTGAAACGTACGTATAAATCTAGAGAGCACCGTAATAAAAAAGGGAGATTTATACAAACAGGATTCACGGAAGCTTCGAATTTTTTCGCTACATCCAATTCGAGGAAAAACTATACGCTGATGTAAACAAAGTATCTATTACATGTAATAAAACATAATAAATGTTAGTAGGGAGAACTGCTTTATAAAATGTGAGCTGTTAATTTTTTTAACGACTTACTCAATTTTTAATTATAAATTAAATTTTATAATACTGTTTATTGTACAGATAATGTTATTTATCATTGCAATGAGCTTTTTGGTTTTTTCAGAAATTTGTCCAGAAATCCGTGTAGACTTCCTACCTTTTTTGGATTTTGTAGTTGTGGAATGATGATGACAATATGTTGAATCAAAGCAGTATAGCGATTCAATAGACATCCATTTCCATTAAATTCAACATCGAGACGAAAAACGTGTTTGCCAAATACGTTACATCACACTAGAGATTATTTGTTTTTGCGTCATCCTAGATTATATAACTATTGTAACCAGCCTATTTTCTATTTTCGTTTGAATTCAAAAATATTCCTTTCATTCCTCTCTCCGAGCATTGCGTTTTTTTCTGGCGCTCTGTGATAAAACATATTATTTCTCTCTTTACGATACGCGTATGCGTCACCCGTATTTTTCCGAACGTAAAATACACAACACGTGGATACAAATTTTCCACTTTTATGAATAAAATTTTAATATTTTTATAAATATCTTTTAATATATTATTGATATTTTATAAAAAATTAATCATATCGACAACGGATGCGATAAATCGTCGAAAATCATACTACAATATGAATACGACAACTATAAAATGCTGTACATTGTTTTTATCTATCGGACGAGAATTTACATCTTGAATTCTTTCTGAAAAAAGAAATTATTTCTAGATTTGCAGACATGGAAGAAGTTCGTAGATTGTATGAGAAATAACTCTTTGAATTGGGACACAGGAAAGCTCCGCTGGCAATGTTACCACGTACAGAAACGAGTATCGCTGTATTGCTATACTTGTAAATCACAACCAACCGAGTATCAGTTTATCAACTAGGTGTGTGTGTATATATATATATATATATCTTTTTATTTATCATACGTATCTAGAACTGTATTCTTTGTATCGAGCGACCAGGCTCGATAACGTGAAATTCTCGCACGTCGTGAATCGTTTCGCGGCATCTAAAATATTACTTGGAAAATTATTGTTTGACAACCCTGTCATTTAAAAAGAAAAATCACTCGATTTAAATTTCAAGGGAAGAAATTGAGGCGAGATGCGTATACCGATTCGCGAAACAGTTATGCGAGAATCGCACTGCCGATACGTATGTACATTAATATAATGCGCAATATAATATACAATATATAATATAATATCATAAACTACGCATTTTGAGATTCCTACCCAAGATTCGAATGATTCAACGCTGTCTCATGCAACGAGATAACGCGAGAAAGGCAACAATGAAAAGAGAGATCGTGTATCATGAAGAGGAGAAAAAATGCCGTGATACAATCTTTATGTCTTTTTCTATCGAGTCAAAACGTAATAAATACGTTATTTTGGCACTTATTAATATCCTCGCGAAAGTAATACAAGAGAAAAACAGTTTTTTAGCTCAATCAACAAATTTTCATATTTTCAAAAAGAACATCGGACAAAAATATCGATCAGTTTTACAAATTTTCCCTTTATTTCAATATATACAAAAAAAAATTGAATTAAATGATCAAATTTCTACTTGGGACACGCTAGATTTTACATCAAACGTCACAGAGGAAATTTCGTTTAAATAAAAAAAACGAACGCCAGCGTTTGGACCTACCTACGTAAAGACACGGATTTTTCACGCAAATGAGATCAATTCATGCGGTGTAACTTTGGTGAAAATGTAATTTCATTTGTGTCAACTTGCGGCCAAGTTTATAAGTTTAAAACTACCTGTAGCATTTTGAAGGTTACAAAGAAGAAAAAAAATCGATGTAATTTTTACAGACGATCGGAGCCTCGTAACGTTGACTTTCTCTCTCTCTTTCTCTCTCTCTCTCTCTCTCTCTCGCTCTCTTTCTCCCTCTCTTGGGTAGGAGGCAACGCTGCATCGAAGAGTATAACTCGAGTAAAGAAATGTTCCCTATCCTAGTAATTAAAAATCTTACGTCGTTCGTAGCACGGCTACGAACGTGTTCTCACAACCTTATCACAACCTTATTATAGAGTGCCCTGGTGACGAGCTTACCACCGAGTCGTATGATCGTCCGATCCATTTTCTTCGCTCTTCTTACCTAGGATTCATTTCAATCGGTCTGTTTGGCGCGGCACTCGAGGAGATGGCGGTTTCTCACCGTCTGTTCCCTCAATTTTACCCTTAATGATACTTTAAATTGTATTGTGGTCATATAAATAGTACTTCGCACATGTCAAAGTATGTGTGTACGTGTGTGCAGTACGCAGATCTACACGGTATCCCGTAATCACCGGTGCCTCATTGAGTATCGTAGAAAGATACACAAGACCGGATATTCACTTGAAAATTGTGGTCTTCAAAATCACTCTTAATAGTGAAAAGTTTCGACGAATTATTTTCGATTTTGCGTCCGCCTGAAGAATTTTCAATGAAACACATACAAGTACCCATTCGATACTTTCGTGTGGAACGACAAAAGTTTGTTTTCAACTTCTATATAGAGGATATAAATGAGTAACAAAGCTCATTCTATTATATTTATGATTGAAACGTGTTTTAATGACGAGCTAAGATAAAATCACGATGCAACCATCAAAGTCACGAAAATTGGAATATTAAAAGAGTGAAGTATAACTGGATGGTGTGCCATCCGCAGAGTGCCATCTAAAGAAAAATCGGCTATTAATAAACTAAGAGGGCTTAGCTGTCATTATAATAAATAGCGGTGATTCCGGGAAACTTTTGTAGCGCTACGTGACGATATTATCGCGTGTCAACGTGAATACGTTGGGAGGCGGTTTAAAGTGAGATTTTATACGACGCGCGGCCACGACCGCGCGAGTCCTGAAACCGCAAAGATTGTGCGGGGTCGGCGCTGTTAACGTCACGCTCCGAATAAACGACCGCCTCGGTGGTGACGAACAAACGCCTCTTACGCTACGTGTGCCTCGCGATCGAGGCTTATGGGTTAGGACTATTAATTATTCACAACCGTAATACTTGCAATTGTTAACGTTCGGTGGACGTACGCACGTCTACCGGATCTATCTAAAACGCACGTACGATTAATTCTCCGTTGTCGTTGGTAGAAGAAAAGCACGTCATCTCCTTCTTTCGCCGACGCGCTAAATCGACCGTTACTTTTGATGTTCTACGGAAATGTTTGCTGTTGTGACATCGAGGAGACGGAAACTGTGCGCGCGACGGAGAAAGAAACGACGCGACGATGGCTTCTCGCGAAACCTCCCCGATAACCTCGATTCCATTACAATCCGGTATCGAGCGTTATTGATTTGATGATAAATCTCAATTACACGCTCATGAGAGCTAATTCAATCATTAATCATCTTCCAGCGCAGCTATAGATTGATCATTGAAGTCACGGAAGGAAAGAAACGACGACGGTGACTTCTTGCGAGACCCCCTCGATGACCTCGATTCTATTACAATCCGGTATCGAGCGTTATTGATTTAATGATAAATCTCATTTACACGCTCGCGGGAGCTAATTCGATCATTAATCATCTTCCAGCACAGCTAGATTGATCATCGAAACCACAGAAGAGAGAAAATTCATACAGAGCTGACGAAAACTTTACATAATGATATTCGGGAAAGGTGGTGGTCGCCGGGGCCAGCACAGGAAGCATAATTTCCTTTATCACTCCGGCAGAAAGTTTCACTTCGACTTTCGCCCTTGAAAGCTCTTCAGGGCCGGATTAGCCGCCGGCTCGACTGCCAATCTTGATTGCGATGCGCTTCGTGCATTTCTAGGATGAAACCATCCATTTTCTCAACGTCTTCTTGGGATTCCTGATAAATTTTCAGGAAAGTACCGACGGTAAGTGCACATCGTTCTTCGGGCTCTCTCGCGGAGCCACGGCAATCCGTTATACTAGTTGAAGGAAATTTTCAAGATTCTTATGGCGTTTCAACTTTTCGTTCCATAAAAAAGAAATTTACTTGGAAAGTCGTGTAATAATTCAAAAACTTTGTGAATGTTTGATTTAGGAGTCAAGTGTACTAGGTGTTGATTAATTGGTTCTAACAATTCTAATAATTTTCGCGAAAACAATCTTTAATCTTCTGTTATGTACGTTTACGACATCAAAATTTACTGTCTGAGAAAATTTGCGTACATTTCTCTCTTCTTACGACGTAAATGATAGTAACGCGTTTCCTTGGTAGAGAATTATGGCCGTGCTTTCTTCATCACTACTCTTCGGATAAACGTAATTATTCAGGTTAATAGGATCGATACCTTAATTAAACGCGGTAGTCGAAAATAAATTATCAAGTTTCGTAGAGTTAAAGTTCGTAACTTGGTGTAAAACGGTAATAATCCTGCGAATTTGCTAGTAACTTACTTACTCCGAGTTTCACGATCCGCGACGCTTCGTCGTTTCATAACTCGTCGTCGTGTGCTGACTGCGTCAAGTTTTCACCACGAGGCGATTACAACACAACGAGAGCTGTGCGCGCGAACAGGCGATCGGAGTAAGCGAGACGTCTGAATTTCCATTAATTACGACGTATCGCCACCCCGACGATGATACGACGAGCGACGCGCTATTCCCTGGACGAAGAACTTACTTAACGACTCCTCTGTTGGCTAGCAGACGGAAATCCCGTGAGTATAGAAGTCGTGACGCAGGGGCTGCTATTATAACCGATCACCGCGAGGTTCCGCGTGACTCGCGAACGCCGAACGAGGATCGCGAGGATCCCCCTCGTCTGCCAACAAAGCCCAAGGGCCAAACGCAACGGCCGCGAGGACTCAACGGATTCGCAACAGTCGTCTAAACGCCCTTCTATAATCAAGATTGAAGATCGTGTAGATGAGGGGGTTGAGAGCGCTGTTGACGTAGCCGAGCCACGTGATAAAGTACACCATTCTGTCAGATGGGCAGCAGGCCGGACAAAACGGCACAATGACGTACATGAGGAAGAACGGCAGCCAGCAGACGACGAAGACGCCCATGATGACACCCAGAGTCCTCGCCGCGCGTCTTTCCTTGGACAGCGAGATCCGCTGTCGTTCCTCGATGAACTGATAGACGGTCGAGGTGTCGGGGATAACTTCGCCGGCACCTCGCCTGGTGGATGCGGTGGTACGACGATCGTTGTCACCTATCGTCACTTCGGTCGGCTCGTCGTCGATTAGGGATGGCTTCGCCTGCAGACGGGGCGTCGAGCGCTCATTGTGATTCGTCTCCGAGCTGACCGACTCCTCGGCATCGTCGGTCTCGCGGTGCCTGGTGGACTGCACCGGACCCAGCCTGCTCTGTCGCGCCCGTTCTCGCAGTCTCCTACGCGTCGCCAAAAAGATCTCCAGGTAAACCAAGCTCATCAGCAGCAACGGTATAAAGAATGAGCCCAAAGACGAGTATATTACGTAGCCCTGCCGTCTAGTGAGCTGACAGGGAGTGCCTGGTTCCAATTCTTCTGGCCAGTCGTTCCAACCGGCTAACGGTGGCGAGCTGATAGCACCGGAGAGAATCCACACGCCCGCGATTGTCCCAAGGACTCGTTTAAGAGTGCGTTTCTGGGCGTAATTAATAGGATCGGTAATCGCCCAATAACGATCCAGCGCGATAGCGCATAAATTGAGGATACTGGCGGTGCAACAGAGCACGTCGCATGTCAACCACAGCTTGCACAGATGAATACCGAAAATCCATTTGCCTAGTAGTAAATAGGCTACGTTAAATGGCATCACGAGGATCGCTACCGCGAGATCGGCCACCGCCAGCGAGACGATGAAGAAGTTTTGGACAATCCGTAGTGGCCGGTAAGTGAACACGCTCAGAATCACCAATGCGTTTCCGAACACCGTCGCCAGCACGAGGAAGCCCAAGGTCAACGTGGCTGCCACCGCCTCCCATGTTGGCAGATTCGAGCCCGTCTCCTCTTCCTGAACGCTGCAGCCTCCGACTTCATAATCTTCCGACATCGTTCCGCCGGACTCTCCGCTCGCGTTCATGTCGTCCAGGATACCCTCTGTAAGTCAGAGTAGTTACAATGTATTACGCAGTCGTCATATTTGTCAATGAATTCTTCTCTCTGTTTTTTTATATTTATTTATATTTTCTTTCTCTTTTTTTTAGTTTGTTTTAATTATCGAACGGTATTAATAACAACATGACATTTGTAACGTGAATTCTGAAATCTGATACCAAGAAGTCATAGTTTAACTATCTCGGTTTAAATATACCAAAGTTAATTTGATTTTGTAATCAAATGTTCAGCTAATGAATATATTTATACAGATCGAATGATATTTAAGTAACCTTCGATACGTGGAATACATTTCATACAAAATCACTGTTGAACTTATCGAAACGTTTCGTAATACGAATCCTTTACGTTTGAAATGTACGGAAAAATGAATACAGACTTTGCGGTTTTTTCGTAAAATTTACACGGTTCCGGAAATCGATTGATATTTGCCAATTCGTTATTTTAGACAAACTTTTCAGTCGGCGATAACATTGATTTACAAGTTGAGATAGAAATCAAACTGCTAAAGAGAGTGATACGTGTATCGTATGTGTGTGAGCGTTTTATGCGATGTTTGCTGAAACAATTCAAAAAGTGTCGAAAGTTTCGCAATTTTTTATCACCGATCATTCGCGCAGATCAAAGAGAGTTTCGGAAAAAATGTTCAGCGATAATTAAAAGAATAATAGCTCAGATGTATATAGTATTCTTTTTCATTCGATTTAAGGGAACATTCATTATCTTTGAACTTTCATCCTCCATTCTATTTTTTTAACCCATACTAATACTTTTATTTACAGATGAGAATATAAATTTTTTTTATTGCTGGTCAATAACTCTTGTAGATTTATCGCTCAATTTATTTAGACATATATTTTTGCAGCAAAGATACGCTACCTGCAATAAATGGATCCGTGCGGTCACAAGGTTAAGTAATCATCATTATTCGCATGTATATTTATGACAAAACATATGTATATTTACAGCATGTATATTTATACGGAAATGTATAACTGTAAATGGTTTGTAAATGTAACAATAGGTAAAATCGTTAATGTCCCTAATAAATCGCGACGTCAAGCATCCCAGCGGTGGTTTTTCTCTGTGTCATAAATTATTGGGTCGCAGATTGCGGCATATATATTCCGCACGCACAAGGTATTATTTTCTGCACGAGAGAGCCTGCGGTAGGTCTGAGAGCGCGGAAAATGTTTCCATTTTCGTGCTTTGAGTGTACGGCAAGCAGCGACCGTAGCTTTGTCACGCTTCCGGCACAGGAAACGTCGCCAATAAAAATACAGAGTTTAACGATACGCGTATACTACATATACATCTATAGTGTCCCGGAGAAACGGTCAGCGCAACGCGAACACCGTACGAGACGATAAGGCACGATTCCGCATTCTCGTAGAACTCTGTGCGTCACGAACCGTTAAAAGCTCGCTTTTCGATATCGAGCCGTTGAAGAAACCTGCCTTCGTTCGGCGGGATTTCTTAAATCCAACTTTCTTTCTTACCTTTGAAGAGATAGCGATTGCGACGAGAAATGGGTCACGCGGAATAACATTTTTCACGTTCCCTTACTTCCGTGTAATTACCACTTGGAAATCCGGGAAAACATCACTTCTCCGTATAACTCCGTTCTGTTTGCCGCTCGTCGTGTCAAAACCGTCGGGTACTTCATCATCCGAGGGTACTCGGAATATCTCTCTCTCCCTCTCTCTCTCTCTCACTCTCTCTTTCTCTCTCTCTCTCTCTCTTTCTCTCTCTCGGCTTCTGTACGCCGACCAATTTGAAGCACGAGGGAACTGTCAAACTTTATTATTACACATGTTCGCCTACGAGGTAAATATTGATTTAGTTAATGCGGAAAGGGGACGAAAGTACCACGATACAAGGGAGTGTTTTTAGGCGAAAGCTCAACGAACACTTTTAATAACAGCCCCGACAAATCAACGAACCGCAAAATGCACGATGAAAAATGGAAAGAATCATATCGCCGTTAAAAGATGTTAATCGTCGGGAAAATCAACGGAATTTTACTCGCTGGTGCTCTCAGGAATTAGTCGGAAATATTCCAGATCGGCTATTTGCAGCTAAAGAGATATCGAGTTGTATTTGATTAAAGCAATCACGGAACTTTCATAATACGTAACATCGTTCGAAATCAGCTTTGTAAGCTTATACCATTTGATCGATTTGCTATAAAGGCGTGTTCTTCATTCCGATGGAAGTTCTCACAGAGAAGACGAACGGCTGATTTTAAATCGATTCGTATTGCGTTCCATTTAATCGCGGAAGTAGTACATAGTACGCGATTGATCGTTTAAATTCACGGAGTTATTAATAACATAATATTCAGCGCGCACGAATTCATTCTTCGTAACGACATGCAACGCGCGCACTCCTAAGAAATCGCCAAGTATAACAATAGGCGAGTTCAAGATGACAGAGAGCGGCTAGGTATGTTTGCCGAGCGAATGAGCACGATTTGTTCTTACGTGTAGTTCCGACCAATCGTGTTTAATTACTTGGCAAACAGACCTATCCGCTTTGCCGAATTGAATTCACCCAATTACGAACTTTGTTACTAACATTTCGAATTGCGAAAAATTCATTAATCACGCGCGACTAAAGCCGGATCTCTTTCATCATCCGATTAACTTGTGATTAAGCTTAACCCGATGTTTCACCGAATGGACTTTACCTATGACGTCACCATAAATGAAGCTTATTAGATAAAACATCGCAGGTTAAGCTTAAAACCATGAGTTAAAGAATAAGGAAAAAAAATAAAGATAATGAAACATCGAGCCCAAGACATTCCCGGCGTAGAGATTGAAGACTTTACAGTTGTATATAATATGCACTATTTTGCCGCGAGTATTTCTATATAACTGCAGAGAAATATACACGTAATTCTGCGCGTAACAGTTCACCAGTGAAATTCGCTCGACTGCATATTACAAGTTTTCGTTAAAAAAAAAAAAAAAAAGAGAGAGAGAAAAGAAAAAAAGAGAAACGAAGTTAGAGCTCGCACCGCCGACAGCGTCCATGACTGAACGCGTCGTCCCAAACAATTCGATTACAACTCCATCGCCAACGGGGTTTCGCACCTTCAACTGAATTACAAGCCCGAATACAGGATCGCCATTTAGAAAAAATTGTACCAGCGCGTCGAAATTTTTCTAAAACGTTCAACAGTCTGCGCATACGCGTTTTACTCTACGGATGCTGGAATTTTCAAGTTAGAGCGAGTTAAAGGCAGCCCGTCGTCTACCGAACACGCACATACACATAAATTGCCGCCCTTAAAATTCTGTGAGGCGTGGATTGAAAAGGCTGCATATTTTTCGTCGATATCGCGTCACGTGAGATAAATTTCGTGCAATCGATAAATTTTATTTTATCGTGCCACAATGTAATACAGTACAGCGTTACGTGACGCCGACCACGTTCTTATGCGTTGTTGCACACGAATACAAGGGTGAACGTCAGTGAACGTCAGCGCATCTTATGTTCTCGAGCAGAAATTCTGTACGTTCCTGCTACATTTTTGAATCGATTACACACATTGTATCGCTGGAATGTATTTTTTTGTAAAACAGGAAATCCCATCGAACTAACCGCTAAAAGCGCATGATTCAATTCAAAATGTCCCTGTATATTCAAGCTTCTGGCTGATTGAAAATTACCAGTAATATTCAGAAAATTGTAAAATACATATCGAGGTGAATAAAGATATTTTAACACGCGAAGAGAAATATTTTCCCATTCGCTTAACTTATTAAGAAATATTTTGTTTCAATGATTGGATAGTGTAATTTCAATATAGAATTTCAGTTTGTTTAAGTTCGTAACTAGAATATCCTAATTAAAGTGCGACAACCGCAGTAACTCATAGTTGTTTCCGAGTTTTGATTAGAGCGGGAAGTACAATCGATTCCAATTCCAAAACCCAGTTCAAATAACATTTTGTGTATTGTTGTTTTGTCCTATTGATAACATTATACTAAATCACATACCGTAGTAATTTATTTAGGATTAAATTTCTTTTTTTATACTCCAAAAATATTTATCTGTCATTTCCAGTATTTTTAAAATTAAAATCTTTATTTATAAAAAAAAAAAGGTTTTATTTAAAATGGAGAGGTTTTAAAACAAAGCGCGTATTTCTTTGGGCGTCCCAATGTTAAATGGCTCTCTGCTCTTTCAATATTCTTTTTCCAGTAAGCATAAAATAATAATAATTAACCCGTGAAAATTACTTCTCTCGTATATTTCGAGTGCACTCGAGCGGTACGCTCGTAATATTTTCCTATCAGGGACACGATGGCGTACTCGCGCAATGACAAAAGACTATTGATTTCATGAGTTTAACATGAGACAATAACAAGCGAATAATACTATTAGAATTATACGTGCGGCGTAATAGCGTGTGTCGTTCACTTCATTAGTAAATCAAACGTTAACTCGTAATGTTTCGAGTGCGGAGTATTAACAGAGGAATGCTATGCCTCTGTCTCTCAATAGCAATCGATGAGGCGCAATTGGCATGAACGCGAAAGGGCACTTGTCGAATATTTGGAGCCTGTTCTGACATTAATCACGAAACAGGTCATGGATCTGTCGTTTGCGTAATTAAAAAGTTATTTAATTTTCAATTTACATGTAACCTATATATGACCTGAGCAATATTTACAATATTAATATTAACAAAAATATTTGTTTTATCGATAGATACACGTTAGATACACAACTATCTTTCGCAATAAACTGTGTACACGTCGAATCTAAATTATGAAGCAAAAAATAATAAACTTTTACTAAGAAAATAGTCAGTGATTCTTAGTTACCCAATCACGCAACGAGATAGCCATACAAAAAAATCGATTGTACTCATTGCGAACAAAATCAAAATGCAGAGGCTTTAGAAATAAGCCAGAAACCGGAAGAAAGTTGCCAGCGAAGTACTCTAAAATAATTGGATCTCCTGGACGAAGCCGTGGCCTTAATTCTTCACTGACAAAATTGTCTTCGTCGTTCTCGAGATCTAACTATCTTTCGACTACGATTTGTGATGCAATCTCTCTGAATGACAAAGCACTTACTATTAAATCCACCGCTATGCGTCTTGTCTTTAATGCGAAACCGTCAAAGATACATAGCGTCACATCTTGATTTCCTGCCCCGCTTGTGATGATGGATGTTCGATCGGCTGATTTCAGCAAGGATCGCAAATCAAACTGATCATTGACTCCCACGGATTACACCATCTGTGTGCAATAGAAGACAGAATCATTTACACTCTGAAATGGCTTTTAAATTCATCGAAATGAAAATGTAATTGAATTAACTTTTGATATACTCTGATTATTAATATGTATGTATGTATAGTGGAATATATTACTTTTTCAATTTCGATAAACAAAAATTGAATTTTAAACAAATACTAGTATACGAAATAGGGAGTTTTATGATCCTCTATACCTCGCTGTATCATACATAATTGATTTTTATATTGTTGCCATATTCTGTGTAAATATGTGACAAATAAAAATAGAATTACGTCGGTATCGTAATACTCGTTTTGCGCGGATGCAATAAAATGGAACGCGTAAATACATGGCAAATGCTGCATCGAAAAGTTTGTCGGATCTTTTTTTCCCCCGAAGGACGAAGAGGGTTTTACTGCGGTAAGGAGAAATTTAATTCGAGACTTAACCCAGTTTCAGAAGAATGTGCATGAAGATATACCCGTATGCACAATTTACATTTACAGCTGGAATATTTTACAATAGGAAATTTATATTGTAAAAACAAACGCGGTAAATAACTGATATAGACACACTATTTTGCAAATTTCTCGGGGACGCAGGATGATAAAAATTCCGTATCGTGTAAACTGTAAAATCGTTTTTATAGGTCACTGTCATAAAACGAAAAACTCTTGCCTCCGGAAATTCAAGTCAGTTAAACAAACAAAACGATACTGAGAGAATGGTATAAAAGTATTATAAAAGTGCCTCGTGCCTTTTAATCTTAAATTACAGTACCTCCGTCATATTTATGTATCCCAGTATTCTTTTCCTTATTGCTTTTCTTATTTAGTCGTTTATTCATTAATTTTTACAATATAACATCAGAAAGAGTGATATAACGTGACACAATGTCAAATAAAATAAATGAAAAATTTGATTTCTAAAAATAAATAAAGGTTCGTGGCTATCTCGTTATCACGCTAGCGTGCTAAATTGATGTTTACGCTAACATATTCTCGGCGTTATAACCTAGTAAAGTAATGTAAGAAAGATTATAAAGTAAATGAAGATAGCGCAATAAAACAGCACGAATATATTGTAACCATCCTGTAATATAGCGTGATATTATATAGCTGCGATTTGCGGAACTATGGATGCTGTTGCCGGGTTAAATGAGGAGCGCCGCGCCGCTTTGTCAGTAACAATAGTCGATTTTAGCAGCTAACGGGTTAAATCGACATTGCGGCACGTTCTGCGTATTTCATCTGTAGCAAACTTCCACTTTGGAAAATGTTCGATTTTCTGGAAGGAGGACAAACGTCTGCGCACATGAGGACCGAGAAAACAAAAGGGAGATTTAAATCGTGTGACACGGGATGTCACCAGCAAGTTTCTATCGTAAAATGAAATTTCGACGCTGAAGCTCGGCAAAAGAAGAAACGCACTTATAAGAGATGTCGAATCTTTCTGAGAAAAGTACGGTGGCATATAGCTGAGAGATAAAATATATTGCGCGAAGTATTATTCAATAACAAGTTCCAGGACACGCTTTTGATGGGAGGATGCGGATTTCAATTTAATTCGTGATTCGACGTCCAACATCATCGTCTTGGTAGAAAGTATCATATAACTTTATCTTAGGAAATCCTTTTGTATATACGGGAAGAGATTTTTACAAGAGAAAAAATATCGCGTTAAAATATAAGAGAAAATTAATGAAGAAGCATTAAGTAGACGTGAAAAAGGAAAATGAAAAAGATGCTACAATATGTTGTAAAAGGTGTAACGTACAAAGGCAACATGCAGGCATTTCTAGGAAAATTTATATCTTATATATACATTGTCCTATATCGTAAATTCGTATCTCTCATTTACTATTCCAGCAAGATCTCGAACTCACTACTCACTGAACTGGCATATCGGTTCCTACGGGATTCATCTCTCAATCGAATTTGCTCGTAAATGTACGCAAGAGATAGCAGTCCGGCGATTGACCTGACTGAAATTTATGATCTCGAGCACTCTGCGAAATGATCGAAACAGTCGGCTGTTCATATAAAATATAGTCCCATAAGATTCTACCAAGTGAATATGTGAAACAAGTAATGCGTGAAACAAGTATATCAACGACCGAATTATTCAACGCTTAGGATACTTTAATAGCAGGATAGTTTTGAGCGCTAACAATAAGAACTTTCTCATCGCTTTTAAACAGTCGGCTTTCAATTGTTTCAAGTTTAAGCCTGCACGTGTCTAATCGCTTCGCATTACGCGGCTAGTTTGACAGAATAATTGTAATTCGGATAAGTTATGCCTTAATCGCTTCATTATCCGACACATGTCACTTCTGCAGTAGAGTTCCAATTTTGGCTCGATATTTTATTTTCCCCTCATCGCAGCTGCGTTGCAGCGCGATATTACGTCATGCTTTACAATTTCTGATAGACGTAATTTAGCTGCATGACAAGCATTCGAGAATATGAGAAATGTGTTTGAATGTATATAAATCAGAGGTATAGGATACACATTCCTAGGAAACTCACTATGACCACTGTACATGCGTCGTCGAATGTATTTCATATTTCATAAAACGAGTTTCGCGTAATAAAAAGAGAATTGAACAGGATATTATCGTGCCGAGTATACAGTCGTGCTCCATCATGTATTTTCCTTGCCAGATTTCGCTGATGGATCCTTCTCGTAAGGAAATTGCTGTTCGCTCTGGGGGAGCTTTCTTATTTCGCTGATCTATCTTCCGCGCACAAAGGTTGCAAGAGGTATAAGCAGCCGCTTACAGGCCTTATATTGTATTTTTCATAAATTTGAATTCCAAATGAATTTAATCGAATCAAAAGATACGGTAACGCCATTCCGCGTTTCGTATTATATTCCGTTTCGCCTCTCGTATTGCCAACGCGATATCAACCAATTTTATCTCGCCAGTGTAACTTTTCCAACTTTAATTATAACAAACACTTGCATAATATTAAAAGCGGCTGTTTAAAAGCGCGACTCCGTGTGCAACGTTATGTGCTGCTTCACTATATATATAAAGCATGATGTTAATTTACATATTTGCACAAGTCGTATGTTATTTTAGTTATGCAGCAAAGTTTTACCACAAAACTGAGAGATAATATTAACAGAGAGAGAGAAATTTCTTTTGTGTTCCTTGAATTCGCTTGGAAAGCATAAGTTTTGGTCAATTACGCGTAAATTAATTTAAATATATATTTTCAAACATTTTTTAGTTATTTTTATAAATATTTAGATAACATCATTTTGTTACCAATAAGCATGGACATTTCTTTGGCCGATAATTATACTTTCTGACGGATACTTGGAGATTCCGTGTCAATGTTTTGCTGAGGATAGCTAAAATGAATAGCCGAAACGTCCAAACGTCGACGTAACTACACATCTTAAGTTTTTATTAAATAATTTTTTCTACAAATTTGCGCACTTCTTACCGCGCTAACTTCTTTTTAGCCAAATTAAATTTTCTTCGTTTTTATTGAAATACTAAGGAGTCCATTATTATAATTATTGTATTGAGAGATAATAATTTATACGAGTAAGAGAGTGTAAGCTACTTTCAACTGTTCGTACTTAACCGCGGGAGCTTTAGCTTTATAATTTTCAGTGCATAAAGTATACGTAATTGAACTTTTGTTACAAAGTTCGAAATTATGTCGATTCCTTCAAGGCTTGATGTTCTTCGAAGAACTGTCTAAAGTTATATGCAAGTGCACTTCGGCTGAACCGCAGTTCATTTAACCATCGCAAAATATACATAAGCTTTTATATTATATAGAGCATGATAGAGCATGAATAGAGCATAAAGATATAAAGTGTTAACAACGGTACGCCGTAGAAATTAAACTTATGGAGAAGAACGAAAAGAGTTGAGAACTTTTATAATTCAACTTGTGTACCGAGAAACTATAGTGTTGCAGCTCTTCTTATATTAACGACATCGCTTGTAAGTATTTTAAGCAAACCCGGTGCCATCAGTGTCTTGAGAACTCGATACGTATCGAACACGAATGATTTCATAGAACGAGGACAATCGGCGAGAAAAGAGAGAAATTCTCGTTTCAAATTTCGATAGACCTCTCTTAGCAACAAAGCTCTTTTTCCTACTCTCAATTTTATCACTTTTACGACGATAAAAGAACGCACTGTAGCGAATATGTTGCGCGAACTTCTTCTGCACTTTTATAGCCCTTTGTATCTATAGCCGTTATCGCGTCTCCTTTTACTGATATTTACATAACTACGATCGCGCATCGCTGCAAACAATGTTTAACATTATCGCAAAAATGCATAGTTCCATGGACAAATTGCTTCTCTATATGTATTGTAGACCTTCCAGTTAATTGCTCGTAATTTTGCCCGGGCTTTGTGAATTTACTAGTCATTTAACGCGTTCTAATACTTCAGTTATCAGCGCTGTAGCATATCTAATTACATTATGTATTGGGTTGAAACAAAAATTTATAGCGTCACTTTATTTCTACATCATGGTCCGTATTCAGAACGCGTTTTTATTGGTAAAAGCGCACTTTTACCTCTGAAATTCTATAGTATGCGTAACATAAATTATAGCATGTTAGAGCGCTAAAATCGTTGTAAGTTCTGAATACAGGCCCGTGTCTATATCATGTTAAAAAACATTTTTAATTTGACAATTATATTTAATAGAGCAAAGTTTTAATTAAAAAAATTATTTCTTTAACTGCGATATGATTTTTAACGGAGTTATGAGCAATTAAAATCAAAACGCGCTCTTTTTATTTAATCCACAATAATAGTAATTCAGTAAAGAAAAAAATTTACGAACGATTTTGTAGAAAAAATTTTAAGCTTTTACGTTTAGAAAGTCGATGATTTTTACAAGTTTTCCTGGACACGTG